ATAATTTATCTACGATTAATCATTAATAAACATGTAATCTGTTGATTAAATTGATTAATTATTAATTAATTTTGATTAATTATTAACTGATATTGGTTAATAATGAAAAATCATTGAGTTAATAAGTGATAAACTTAAATCAATCAACAATTGACCGCTAATTATATCAGTGATACACTAATCAATCACTGATTGACTACTAAATTAATCAGTAATTGACCACTAATTAATAAAATAAACGGCCATATTGCTAATTTTATAAAACTTAGACTATGTTTTTAAAAAATCTTTCAAAAAGGGTCATATAAAAACATTGAGGAAAAAAACATCAGTTGCAGTAAATACTGAAAATGAAAGATGAAAATAGAACCTTTTGCTTGATTCTTATCAATTATTTGTATTAAATTTCATGAATATGGCTCTCTTCTAACATACATATCTCCGACTAAAGTTTGAAATTTTTTGTTATTTATTTATTTAATTTTGTTCCTTTCACTTTTGTTACAGCTATTCTAAAATGGCAATACAAAAAATTGTGGATTTTACTACACTAATTAGACGACGGTTTTATACAAAACCATTGTCAAACGTGCCATTAAAAACACGGTAGTTGACGTGGCAACTATAGATGACGGTTTTTCAAAAAACCGTCGTTGAATCTAGTTTTCAACCCAGAAAAACTTCATTTCGCAAAAATTCACTCGGAAATCAAAATGCCGCCCACTGTGTTATTCCGCCAATCTCTCTGCCCAGACAGAATCATCACCCCAAATAGGCCCTTTCTTCCTTCCGTTTGCCGCCATTCTCCTTCCGTTCACCGTCGTTTTCTCCATAAATCCAAGAAGGACCACAAATCTGTGAAAAATATCAAGTAAATTTCATTAATTTTCTTATTTTTTTGTATAAATTTGATATAAAAAATGAAGAAAATAGCTTAGATTTTATGATTTTGAGTATTATAGATGTTGGGTATTTATTGTTTCATAAAATTTGTTTATGTTGATGATGAAATTAGTTTAGGTTTTGTGATTTTGAGTAATATGGGTGTTGGGATTTTAGTTTTTGTCTTAAATTTGTTATGTAGATGATGAAATTTGTTTAGGTTTTGTAGTTTTGAGTAATATGGGTGTTGGGCTTTTGTTGATTGTCTTGAATTTGTTATGTAGATAATGCATTTTGTTTATGTTTTATGATTTTGAGTAATATAGGTGTTGGGTGTTAGGTTTTAATATGTTGTTTTGAGTAATTGTATGAATTATGTGTTTGGATAAGTGAGATATTTATTGTTTGCTCAGAGTACCCTTATTTTGAGTAATTGTATGAATTATGTGTTTGGATAAGTGAGATATTTATTGTTTGCTCAGAGTACCCGTCTAACACGGAAGCAATTGGTTTACCAAAGAAGGTAAACACGGAGCCAAAAGGTAAATTTGCCGGTATTCTTTCCTCGGTTCCTGGCAAAGCATAGGAACAAGCTTGTCTTTACGTGCTACATAATGCTTGTGAGGTAGAACCATATATAGAGGTCCACAAAAAATAAATAAAGGTGGCAAACCCAAAAGAGAGAGAAAAATGAGAAGTGGTTACAAGATGAACATAACCGGATATTTAGAGGGTGGATAAGGACACACATTTACTCCAAGGTTCGCGAGTCAAGAAATGAAGGTGTGTTGGAAGACTTGTTTAAGCTAGTTGGAGGAAATACACGTCGTACTTAATAAATGGCTATATCTTCTACACTCAAGAGAGAGATGAGAAGCACCCGGTCTAAAATAGTGGTGTTAGATCCATGCCGATACTATGCATATTTTGTCTGCAAAGACAAGAATATCGTATATGGAATAATGACCTACTACGGTTTTGTGGAGGACATATAAGGACTTGACTATTATGGATTGCGAGTGGCGCTTTTTATATGTAAGTAGGCCGACAATTATTATGTGAAGGTTTATAGTGACGGCGCTATAATGATTAACTTTCGAAGAATTGGCTACAAGAATGATTCTTTCATTTTGCCAACGCAAGCAAAATAAGCTTTCTATACAACCGATTCTAATGATTTGGAGTTGTCTTTAGTTGTTCTCATGAAGCTAAGAGCTATTCGTGATGGAGAAGTGGATGATGATGATTGCAACGACATTCCATCGGTGAGTAGAGGCTTAGCACCCGTTGACGAGATTGATGTTTTTGATGATGATGATTCAAACCTTATCTGCTTATATGTTGAATGGATATGTGTTGAAAATATTCAAACATTATCAGTCGTCTAATCTTTTAATAACGATTATTAACGGTCGTTAAATACCAGTTTTCTACTGGAAAAATATTGTACATAATTTGGGTTTGCTATATTGTTTGGTTGTCTTATGATCAGCTATCATTCAATTGTTTTTGTTTGAATTGTTTGGTGGGTTCTCTCAGATTCTGTGAGGATTGGTGGTTGGTGGTGCCACCATCCGAGGTTAGATGGTTCTTCTTCACCAGATTTTGTTGAGGAGAGATAGGAGGGAATGATTTGTTTTTCTTTCTTTTTTTTTTTAGTTTTTTATTTAATAAAATTCTTTTAATTGTTTTTTATTTAAACATTTAATTTATTTAAATTCTTAGTTAAATTTTCAATTTTATTGAATACATACTTTGTATTTTAAAAATTTGACATCTAAAAGAGTTTTATTTTTTATTTTTATTTGTTTTGAAAAAAAATTGGAGAGTCATTACAGATTTAACTGTTTAGCGGTAATTTCACATCCAACACCACAATTTAAACAGTTCAAATCTCTTCACTCTTAAGTTTCTAAAAATAAATAAATAAGTAAATAAATGGAGATAATTTTGGCAATTCAAGTAACACGGGGACAAATGTTGCATTTAAACTCACCTAAATTTGCTTCTCGAAACAAAAAGACCACTTTTTCCTAAAAATAAAATGCAAAAAGAAAAAATCATTACCCTATTAGTACTTAGCGTTAGACGGTTAGAATTCAATATTTATGAAAATATACATATTCTTTGAGTCTTAAATTTGAAAATAACTTTAAACTAATACAAAATCCCAACATAAGATTCTCTGATGCTTTATATATGTGAATACTTGTTTCAAAAGTTGAAGACAAGCCCATCTTTTCATGCAAGTTTGGACCATATTTTCTTAGACTTTATAGTTTAAATAAAATTAAAAAAAATCAAACCACCATATTACGAATATACAAGATAAACGGTAAACATACCCTATGTGTCAACAATGAAACGACAATATGAAGCAATATTTGCACTAACAAAAACTATCAATTTGCAAAGATTAATTTCCTTAATCAGTTTCCACTATTATATCATCAATACATCTACAGATAGTTTAGGAAAATATGTGATTGATTTCCTATATGTGGGATTCGTCCAATTTTTTCTTCGTGTAACATTTAATACTCAAAATAAATGTTTTTCTCTGTTTTTCTTTGTACGGCTTCTCAAGAAGTCAAACTGGAACATTTGAAGAGAAAAATGTGAGACTAAACTACCATGCAAACTTGTTCGGGCTTGAGCTCTTATGAAAGAATTCGTTATTGCATTTTCAAAAGTCATTGTGGACCCTTTTTAACATCAAAGTCCAAGCATGCTGCGATAGGTCAGATATCTCGTCTAAAATTAATTTAAAGGGATTTCTAATGTAATTTCTGTAAAAATGAACTACCAATAAACTCTTATTTTTTAACATTTAGATCTATATCAGAATATATTTATTTTGTATATTTTTTAATTTAATATGATTTTAATCAGATATAACAGTAAAAAATTGAGACTACCAATAGAGCGCACTATTAAATAAACTCCCATCATATAAAAACGAAAAATAAAAACTTCCCTTAAAAATATGAAATAAAATAAAAACCAACAAGTACTACTGAAGAATTTTATTATATTTTGATCATAGACTTAACCTTAATAGTAATTTCACATTCATTTCTAATATATACTATCGTATACTCACTTCTAATATTTTTATATTCATAGGAGAAAATTTTTTATTTTCTCCTATGACTTTTCTTTGTTATTTGATTTTTCATCTTTTTATATTTTAGTTTTGAGATATGTTTTTTTCCCTTTTTTTCATTTCACATATTTGAGTTTTTAGTTTTAGGTTTCTGCAGTTAAAATTTTTTAGTAAATGTCACATCTAATTTTTTCTACTACAGTTAAAAGTTCTCAAAAAATATCACATCTCAACTCGAATTGAAAACTCAAATCCACGAACAAAAAACGAGGCCAAAATTCTCCTTTCTAGAGGTTGATGCTACTCTGATAATGAGAATCCCTGTTGGTCTTTCTAGAGGGTCAGATAGAATGTTGTGGCACTATGACAGGTGAGGAAACTATGCTGTCAGATCGGGCTGTTTTGTGGCGATGCAGGCTCAAAATGAGTTGGGTTCTTCGGCGGGGAGTGTTGATAAGAAATGGTGGAAATTCCTCTAGCACTTATGGTGTGTTTAGTTAGTGTATTCGTATCATGATTTGAATCATAGTTCGTGGTTCGCTATAATATTTTCTCTCATAAAAAATACACGTAAATCGAGAATGGTTATTCTGAATTTATGAACTAAACGTCTACTTAAATATTCACTTTCTGCATTCCACTTGTTAGACAGTGAATATAAAAAGTGACAAAAAAGTGATAGAAAAAATAATACTAGCATCTCCTTAAAATAAAATACCTATATTTAATTACTTAACACTCATCAATAAGGATCAGTTTACACTTCAACAACATGCATGTCTCATTATAAGATACACAATAAAGCAAGAATATTGTGTGCCACAAATAATCCCATTCATGGCAACATGGATACTACTAGAAGAAATTAAAAGCTTCCAACCACTTCCTAACACCAAAAAAAGTTCGAAGACCAATTAACCTCTAATTAATTTCCTACTCTCTTTCACACACACACACATATATATATATAAGCAAGTCCTCTAACAACCAGCCTACCACAAGCTAGCTTGCTTGACATACATTACTAACAGTAGTACTGCCATTAAAATATAAAAAAAATATAAAATAAAAAAAAACCGTGAACAAAATATGGCAAAAGCATACATATTGATCAGCTCAATGTGGATCCTTGCAATTCAGTTCCTAATAATGGTGTACAAAAGTGATGCAAAAGTGCCGGCCATAATTGTGTTTGGGGACTCAACCGTGGACGCTGGCAACAACAACCAAATCCCCACCATTGCCAGGAGCAATTTTGTGCCTTATGGCCGTGATTTCACCGGTGGAAGGCCTACCGGGAGGTTCTCGAATGGGCGCATACCGACCGACTTCATCTCGGAGGCGTTCGGGCTAAAATCAACAATTCCTGCTTACTTGGATCCTGCTTACAAAATCTCAGATTTTGCCTCTGGTGTCACTTTTGCCTCTGCTGGGACTGGCTATGATAATGCAACTTCGTCTGTGCTAGTAAGTATATATGTATTTATATCCGAAAATGAGATTAAAGCTCTCTTTTTGTTTTTCAAATGTTTCGCAGTTCTATTACACATAAAGTCCGTGCAATTGTTTTGCCTTCAGTTTATAATCATTTTTCATTCCAATTTTTTATGTAGCAAAATTTCAATATTGTATTTTACACATTATTCTACATATATACTTTCAAAACAATAATTTATGCTGAATCATGTACCATTTGTATTGACAATGTTGTGAGTAGACTCTTCTTTTCTTTTCCTTTTTTTTTCGCCCTCTTTCTTTTGATGAAGTTGGATTTTTATATAAATAAATAAAGACCAAAAAGAAGAAATGGCAAGATCCATTTTATATCGATGGAGGAAATAACGATGTGGCAGGGATTCTCTACAATGACACTGTAGGCCAATTGAAAGGGATGTAGCGCAGCTTGGTAGCGCCTTTGTTTTGGGTACAAAATGTCACGGGTTCCATTTGAGGGTAAAAAGCTCGCTTGTTATACGGGATCCAACGCATCCAGCAGAGCGAAGCAGCGTTCCATTCTTTTCGGCGGCATCCTTCCGCATTGGCGGCGAGTGGAGTGCCACAATCCCATTCATCATTTTTGATCTACATAAGCCAAAGTCGCAACCTCTCCCAGGACCGGAATGATTATCCCTGCCCGATGGGTCTACATCCATCCCTGAATGTCGTCGGGTACTGTTCACTTCCCCGCCATTCTTGTAACCGTCACCTGTAATCCGCGCAGGTGTGTCCGCACCCCCCTGAGTGGACGAGAAAGAAAGGATGTCTCGGAGCAACCCCCCATGGCCGAAGCCAAGCCAACGAGGTTACGACCGGTACGAACGAGTTGACAGGCTCTCCAACTCGTTCGTACCGTTCGTAACCTCGTTGGCTTGGATTCGTCTCCGTCCCAACTTCGCGTACTCGTATGTCCTTTTCCCACTCCCCTCGCTCTACTAATTGGTATGATGACCAGTAAGAGGAAGCAACATAGTCATATTAGCCAGAGCACCCTAAACCGGCAACAGCAAGACCGCCTCCACGAGAGCTAGATTTGCCTCAATTCTTTCTCTCTTGTCGACTCGAATCGATGTGACTTCTTCTGCTTATTCTCTAATTTCCTTTCTTGTCAAATGAAAAGCAGGACGCTGGGTTTACCGTTTCGGCCTTCCCCTTGATAAGAATCAAAGGAACTGCCTGAGGGTCTTTCGAGAAGGAAAGAAGAAGAAGGGCAATTCCTCATCCGAAAACCGATTCTTCTGAAGTCGATTTAGTAGCAGGAGCGGCTGTAGCTTTACCAGTTGTACCTATTCCAATTGGTTAGCTGAAGCAACTGCTGGGGGTACCTATCCAACAGTCTCTGCCGCTGGTGGAACTGGATATCGATCCAGGTTCGGACGTGAGCGAAGGGAAGCCTTTATCTAAGAGAGTCTTATATATGTCAAGCGAACTTAGTTTGAGACAAAGATAATAGAACACAGCGAGAAAGGGTATCATAATGATGATCTTCCAGATAAAATTAAGGAACGATGACTTAAGATGATGAGATATTTGACATACGTTAAACGAAAAATACAGAAAGATCACAGAAACTAGCAGACTGATCACTAAATAGATACAAATAGGTGCAAATTCTGACATCATCCCAGCCCCCTCATATAATTATTGAGTTTCCGGTAATTCTGGCTGTTCACCTTCAATAATGATTTTCGATCCTCTACCGACCTTGCCATTCACAATTCAAGTAGAAAAGGCGGGTAAAAACCTACCTCTAGCTCGAACCCTTCTCATGGGATCGGCTTACCTCACTTTCAAGCATCCACTGGATCAGAGATCTTTCTTCCTTTAGCGGCTGAGAAAGAACAGGAAGACCAATCCCTGAACGTAGTGCAACCATCTATTTCTCTTTTTGGACAAATTGTACTGCGTACAGTGTTTTATTTTTAATACGAACACTGACAATATTTGATTCTATGTAACGAATTAGAAATTTCAACATTTAAGGCACCAAGCGAATGTGGGAAATTTTATTCTCTTATGTTTCACTGAATCACACATAAAAATTATATCAGTTACCTACACATACATTTACCAAACTTTATTAATTAGCACGTACGTACTATATTAATTGTGACCATATTCTGGCCACACAATTTTCGGATCAGACTTGTTGATAAAATTTTTAAAATTGCTAAAATTATTGATCACTAACATGTAAATTCAATTGAAAATTTCCCGTCTAATTAATTATATTTTCTTGCAGGATGTGATACCACTATGGAAGGAGTTGGAGTACTACAAGGAATACCAAAAGAAACTCAAAACCTATCTTGGAGAACAACAAGCAAAGGAGAGAATAAGCGAAGCTCTCCACATGATGAGCTTGGGAACCAACGATTTCCTAGAGAACTACTACACAATGCCCGGCCGATCATCGCGATACAACGTCGAGCAGTACCAAGATTTCCTCGTCGGAATCGCGAAGAATTTCGTCAAGGAATTGTACAATCTCGGCGCTCGCAAAGTCTCCCTTGGAGGGTTACCTCCCATGGGGTGCTTGCCCTTGGAAAGGACCACCAATATCTTCGGTCGCAATGACTGTGTCGAGAGGTATAACGTTGTGGCTTTGCAGTTTAATGGAAAGTTGGAGAAGTTAACCGCAAGCCTAAACCAGGAACTCTCCGGTGTCAAAGTGGTCTTCTCAAACCCCTACGATCCTCTCCTGAATATCGTAAGGCAACCTTCTTCTTTTGGTAAGTATTCCTTATAATTACATTTAATAAAAATACTAACAAATCCTATAATTAAAAATATACTTAGTACTTAATTTGTTACAATCAACGATCAGTCTCATTTACAAAGTACATTAATATATGTTTAAGTAGTATACCATTTAATTAATCAAAGCCGTCACATATGTTGGGACTTTGTTATCTTGCATTTTGTCATGTGACGGGTTAGTTTCACTGATAAGTGATACATTATTAGATCGGTGCTAATTATAATAAGTAACATTATTGGTCTAAAAAATAATAGGCTAGTGGAAGCGTTTTTCATGTTATATATTATGTTCTTTAATTTGTTTTAAATCTGATATTTCTTTTTAAGCTAACCAAACCGAGGAAAATGACTTCAATTTTCTTCAATTGGCGCATTTAAGTTTTCACATTATTGAGATGAATTAAGTGAAACACGCTTGACAGTTGGGGTGTTGGGGAGCTTATTTTTGGCTTCTCAAAAGGTCTAAGAAAGACAATTTAATGAGACCCTTTGTAATAGGGTAAATCAATAAAGTCTTGGTAGGAAAATCAACTAACATAGGGACACATGGCTTCGGCATCTGCAGCCTCATTTCTGACTTTTTCAGTAATATTTTGTATTGTTTGATAGGAAAGAGGCAAAATTAAAAAGATAAATTATAGTTATTTATTTAATTATTAAATTATTTATTTTTTAATTTGTTAAAAATTCTTTTGAGGGTAATAATCATACACTCTTTTTACTTTTTAGCTTGAATTAGATATACTTTTTAAAATTTTCTTACTAGTAGAAATATATAATAATTTAAATTGATGGGTCCATAAGAAGATATTTGTCTGTTCCTCTCTCCAATCCTCATCATCTCACTCTATCTCACTAATAAACTAAACAATAAATTAACTATATAGGTGCGTTTGGTTAGGTGAAAAGGAAATGAATAGAATGGAATGAAAATTTAAGTTTGATATTTAGTTAGATTTATAAGAAATGAATAGTCATTTAAAAGAAATGGTCATTCACTTATTTTTAGTGAATCATCATTCTTTCATTACGTGAGAGAAATAGCCATTCCAAAATATTTTCTTCATTTTTTTTCCATAATTACCCTTCAATATTATAATATAATTACAATATATTATATAGTTGTTATATCTTATAATATGTAATATAATATAATATTATAATATGATATGATATAATGCAATATAATATATAATATAATTATAAATTATAATAAATTATATATTATTACGTAATTATATCTTATAATATAAGATATAATAATATTAAAATATAATATAATAATACAATAATATGACATAATATAATATAGTTGTAATATTGTAAAAAAATAATATCATGATTATATTAATAATTTTAATATTATTATTTTATTATATAATATGATCTTATTAATTATACTATATTGTATTAATATAATTATGTTTATTATATTAATAATATAATAATTAATATAATTAAATAATATTATAATCTTATAATTTCAATATTATTATTTATTATAGTGTATTACACAAGTTATGACTACATAATGTATTAATTATAATTTATTTATTTAATATAC